TTCTCATTCTCTCTTTCTCATTCTCTCTCTTCTCTCTCTCTCTCTCTCTCTCTCTCTCTCTCTCTCTCTTCTCTCTCTCTCTCTCTCTCTCTCTCTCTCTCTCTCTTTCTCATTCTCTCTTTCTCATTCTCTCTTTCTCATTCTCTCTCTCTCTCTCTCTCTCTCTCTCTCTCTCTCTCTCTCTCTCTCTCTCTCTCTCTCTCTCTCTCTCTCTCTCTCTCTCTCTCTCTCTCTCTATAACGAAGGGTTTTCGTATTTAGCGAACTTGAAAATTAGAGTAATTTAGCATTTCCTGGAAAAAAAAAAGCGAATCCATGTAACTCAAACCCCTCAACCACCCTATGTACTGCCCAAAAACCCACACCAACCTACCCTGCAAAATTTCGTGAAGCCCCCCCAAGATGTAACTATGCCAGATTTCCGAGAGCACATCTAAAGACCGTCTTTTAGACTCGTGACTGCCTGTTCAATTGGGTGGAATGACCTTGTTTCTACCCTTGACAGCTTTTCCAATTTTCTCTCCTGGTGACCTTTGACCTCTTCCGCCTCCCCCGGGGGTCAAGGCGGAGGTCACGAAGGTCACAGTGATAAACTACCGGAATTGTTAACCGTATTTCCTTCCTGGGGGATATTAAGGTCGCTTGTTTGGTGGTATTGTGGTGTTTGTATCTACCGGTGCTTGGGGAGCCCGGGGTTCGATCCGGTGCTTGGGTGACTACACAGGAACTAGGGGAAGGTAGACGACGAACCCATGCAGTTCATTCAGTCCCTCTTCATGTCACATTTACAGAGAGAATTGTAATAGGGGCAGAAATAGGGGACTAACAGGTTTGGGGAGATAGGGAAGTAGAAATGGGGGGGTTATCTTGAGGTTATCTTGAGATGATTTCGGGGCTTTAGTGTCCCCGCGGCCCGGTCCTCGACCAGGCCTCCATACCCCAGGAAGCAGCCCGTGACAGCTGACTAACACCCAGGTACCTATTTTACTGCTAGGTAACAGGGGCATAGGGTGAAAGAAACTCTGCCCATTGTTTCTCGCCGGCGCCTGGGATCGAACCCGGGACCACAGGATCACAAGTCCAGTGTGCTACATATCCCTAAATATTCCCCCAATTGAGCGGGAGTCGAACCCGGAACCTTTCATTTGTGAATCGAACATCGCTGGAAACTATAATTGTGAAATTATAACTAAAAATTCCACCTGTGCTATCGGGAGATTGAGCCAAGACCTGTACAATCCGAAGCAATCACTCTACCAACTACCCCAGGGTGATCAGAGTAAGCAGGGGGAAAGTTTATGAATCAAATTGAGTATTTGTTATTTTCTAAGACATTTCTCTAATTGCTATTATCCTGGCCTGGTTAATAGAGCGACAGCTGTGAATTTTTGCAGGTCTTGGTTCGATACCCCGATAACACATGTGAATGAAATATTATTAAGGATTTTATATATAGAATATATATTAATATAATAATTTATATGGAATTTTTTGCCTTGGAAATGTGACCAAAGAAATGGTGGGTCAATACTTCCTTAAAATGGTCATGGGTCAATACTTCCACAAGATGGTGGTGGGTCAATACTTCCTCAAGATGGTCGTGGGTCAATACTTCCTCAAGATGGTCGTGGGTCAATACTTCCTCAAGATAGTGGTGGGTCAATACTTCCTCAAGATGGTAGTGGGTCAATACTTCCTCAAGATGGTCGTGGGTCAATACTTCCTCAAGATGGTGGTGGGTCAATACTTCCTTAAGATGGTCGTGGGTCAATACTTCCTCAAGATGGTGGTGGGTCAATACTTCCTTAAGATGGTGGTGGGTCAATACTTCCTCAAGATAGTGGTGGGTCAATACTTCCTTAAGATGGTGGTGGGTCAATACTTCCTTAAGATGGTAGTGGGTCAATACTTCCTTAAGATGGTGGTGGGTCAATACTTCCTTAAGATGGTAGTGGGTCAATACTTCCTTAAGGTGGTAGTGGGTCAATACTTCCTCAAGATGGTAGTGGGTCAATACTTCCTTAAGATGGTCGTGGGTCAATACTTCCTCAAGATGGTAGTGGGTCAATACTTCCTTAAGATGGTGGTGGGTCAATACTTCCTCAAGATGGTCGTGGGTCAATACTTCCTCAAGATGGTCGTGGGTCAATACTTCCTTAAGATGGTGGTGGGTCAATACTTCCTTAAGATGGTGGTGGGTCAATACTTCCTTAAGATGGTAGTGGGTCAATACTTCCTTAAGATGGTGGTGGGTCAATACTTCCTTAAGATGGTGGTGGGTCAATACTTCCTCAAGATGGTAGTGGGTCAATACTTCCTTAAGATGGTGGTGGGTCAATACTTCCTTAAGATGGTAGTGGGTCAATACTTCCTTAAGATGGTCGTGGGTCAATACTTCCTCAAGATGGTCGTGGGTCAATACTTCCTCAAGATGGTCGTGGGTCAATACTTCCTCAAGATGGTCGTGGGTCAATACTACCTCAAGATGACCCACGACCACACTGGGTGGTCAATACTTCTTCAAGATGACCCACGACCACACTGGGTGGTCAATACTACCTTAAGATGACCCACGACCACACTGAGTGGTCAATACTACCTCAAGATGACCCACGACCACACTGGGTGGTCAATACTACCTTAAGATGACCCACGACTACACTGGGTGGTCAATACTTCCTCAAGATGACCCACGACCACACTGGGTGGTCAATAATACTTTAAGATGACCCACGACCACACTGGGTGGTCAATACTTCTTCAAGATGACCCACGACCACACTGGGTGGTCAATACTACCTTAAGATGACCCACGACCACACTGAGTGGTCAATACTACCTTAAGATGACCCACGACCACACTGGGTGGTCAATACTTCTTCAAGATGACCCACGACCACACTAAGTGGTCAATACTACCTCAAGATGACCCACGACCACACTAAGTGGTCAATACTACCTCAAGATGACCCACGACCACACTGGGTGGTCAATACTTCTTCAAGATGACCCACGACCACACTGGGTGGTCAATACTTCTTCAAGATGACCCACGACCACACTAAGTGGTCAATACTACCTCAAGATGACCCACGACCACACTGGGTGGTCAATACTACCTTAAGATGACCCACGACCACACTGAGTGGTCAATACTACCTTAAGATGACCCACGACCACACTGGGTGGTCAATACTTCTTCAAGATGACCCACGACCACACTAAGTGGTCAATACTACCTCCAGATGACCCACGACCACGCTGAGTGGTCAATACTACCTTAAGATGACCCACGACCACGCTGAGTGGTCAATACTACCTTAAGATGACCCACGACCACGCTGAGTGGTCAATACTACCTTAAGATGACCCACGACCACGCTGAGTGGTCAATACTACCTTAAGATGACCCACGACCACACTGGGTGGTCAATACTTCCTCAAGATGACCCACGACCACACTGGGTGGTCAATACTATCTCAAGATGACCCACGACCACACTGGGTGGTCAATACTTCCTCAAGATGACCCACGACCACACTGGGTGGTCAATACTTCCTCAAGATGACCCACGACCACACTGGGTGGTCAATACTTCCTCAAGATGACCCACGACCACACTGGGTGGTCAATACTACCTCAAGATGACCCACGACCACACTGGGTGGTCAATACTACCTTAAGATGACCCACGACCACACTGGGTGGTCAATAATACTTTAAGATGACCCACGACCACACTGGGTGGTCAATAATACTTTAAGATGACTCACCGGAGAAAGTTTAAGAAAGTAAAAGTCGCCATGTGATGCCAGAACACCTGACGACTTGTCCGAACACGCTCGGTGACTCTGGCTTCGAACTCCTGAAACCCTTCACAGCGGCTCTATTCTCGCTTGTAAAGTATTTGTCTGCGTTAGGATATGTCAAAGGCATCATTAGGTCTATTTAGAATGGTTTTATGTACCCAGGGCGGTAATTAGCGCCGCGAATCACCTCGTTAGAGGCTATATAGGCTGTTCCCGGCACTGGTTCATAGGGTACACAAGTTCTTTATTGTCGAAAGGGAGCCTGGTGGATGAGTGGCCGGCGCTCAGGGTTCGTAGTCTCTCGCTTTCTCCCTCCTTTCTCTGGCATTCCCTTACTGATATTATTATACCACTGGAGGAAATGTAGATGCGTCCTATGATGCAAATTGCTCTGTCGGGAGCCGGTCGGCCGAGCGGACAGCACGCGGGACTTGTGATCCTGTGGTCCTGGGTTCGATCCCAGGCGCCGGCGAGAAACATTGGGCAGAGTTTCTTTCACCCTATGCCCCTGTTACCTAGCAGTAAAATAGGTACCTGGGTGTTAGTCAGCTGTCACGGGCTGCTTCCTGGGGGTGGAGGCCTGGTCGAAGACCGGGCCGCGGGGACACTAAAGCCCCGAAATCATCTCAAGATAATCTCAAGAGTCTTTCGATTGTGCATGTATGGTGATTGTATAGACAACGTAGTTACAGGATGAGAGCTACGCTCGTGGTGTCCCGTCTTCCCAGCACTCTTTGTCATATAACGCTTTGAAACTACTGACGGTCTTGGCCTCCACCACCTTGTGTGTGTGTGTGTAATTACCTAAGTGTAGTTACAGGATGAGAGCTACGCTCGTCGTGTCCCGTCTTCCCAGCACTCTTTGTCATATAACGCTTTGAAACTACTGACGGTCTTGGCCTCCACCACCTTCTCCCCTAACTTGTTCCAACCGTCTACCACTCTGTTTGTGAAAGTGAATTTTCTTATATTTCTTCGGCATCTGTGTTTAGCTAGTTTAAATCTATGACCTCTTGTTCTTGAAGTTCCAGGTCTCAGGAAGTCTTCCCTGTCGATTTTATCAATTCCTGTTACTATTTTGTACGTAGTGATCATATCACCTCTTTTTCTTGTGTGTGTGTGTGTGTGCGTGTGTGTGTGTGTCGTGTCTGTGTGTGGTGCGTGTGTGTGCGTGTGTGTGTGTGTGGTGTGTGTGTGTGTGTGTGTGTGTGTGTGTGTGTGTGTGTGTGTGTTGTGTGTGTGTGTGTGTGTGTGCGTGTTGTGTGTGTGTGGTGTGTGTGTGCGTGTGTGTGCGTGTGTGTGTGTGTGCGCGTGTGCGTGTGTGCGTGTGTGTGTGTGTGCGCGTGTGTGTGTGTGTGTGTGTGTGTGTGTGGTGTGTGTGTGTGTACTCACCTAGTTGTGCTTGCGGGGGTTGAGCTCTGGCTCTTTGGTCCCGCCTCTCAACTGTCAATCAACAGGTGTACAGGTTCCTGAGCCTATTGGGCTCTATCATATCTACACTTGAGGAAACACACACACAAACACACACACACACACACACACACACTGTGTGTGTGTGTGTGTGTGTGTGCGTGTGTGTGTGTGTGTGTGTGTGTGCGTGCATACTCATCTATTTGTACTCACCTATTTGAGTACAGCTACTCGCCTGCAGGATCGAGCTCTGACGCTTGGGCCCCTGCTTTTCTAGTCGTGGGTTGTCTAATGCAATGACTCTTCATATGTGTTTTTAAAGTTATAAATAGAGTTAGCCTCTACTTAGGAGCCGGCGGCTGAGCGGACAGAACACTGGACGCGTGATCCTGTGGTCCCGGGTTCGATCCCGGGCGCCGGCGAGAAACAATGGGCAGAGTTTCTTTCACCCTGATGCCCCCTGTTACCTAGCAGTAAATAGGTACCTGGGAGCTAGTCAGCTGTCACGGGCTGCTTCTTGGGGGTGGAGGCCTGGTCAAGGACCGGGCCGCGGGGACACTAAAGCCCCGAAATCATCTCAAGAATCTCGAGAAGCCTTGACAACCTGTTCCTTCAGATTGTTAAATTTACTCACTACTCTCACGGTAAAAGAAAACTTTCTAACATCTCTATGACACATCCGAGTCTCCGTGCCCCCTTGTTCTGTTGGTATTGTGAACTGCTCCTATTTTCCCAATCTCTCAATCCCTCTAGGTATTTTTTACGTCTGTATCATGTCCCTCTTGTCCCTCCTTCTTTCTAACGTCGTCAGGTTTAGTTCCTTCAGTCTGACTTCGTACCTCATCCCTCGCAGCTCTGGGACGAGTCTCGTTGCAAACTTCTGCACCTTTTCGAATTCCTTATATGCTTTTTAAGATGGGGTTCCAGGCAGGGTCGGCATACTCTAAGACTGGCCTTACATAGGTAGTCTAAAGTGATCTAAAAGCCTCCTTATGCAGGTTTCTGAAGGATGTTCTGACTTTTGCCAGAGTAGAGTATGCCGCTGATGTTATTCTGTTTATATGAGCCTCTGGAGTTAGATTTAGTGTTATGTCCACTCACAGGTCTTTCTCTAGTTATAGGGAGATAGTTTCCCTTAATTGTGTATTGGCCTTTCGGTCTCCTGGCTACTGATCCCATTGTCATCGCCTTGCACTTGTAAGTGTTGAATTCTAGCAGCCATTTCTCTGACCAGTTCTGAAACCTGTTCAAGTCATCTTGGAGAATCTTACCATCTTCATCTGTCTCAGCGTTCCTCATTAGTTCCACATCGTCTGCGAACATTGATATATAAGAATCAACTCCTGCAGTCAAGTAATTTACATAGAACGTGTTGTGTGTGTGTGTGTGTGTGTGTGTGTGTGTGTGTGTGTGTGTGTGTGTGTGTGTGTGTGTGTGCGTGTGTGTGTGTGCGTGTGTGTGTGTGTGTGTAATTACCTAAGTGTAATTACCTAAGTGTAGTTACAGGATGAAAGCTACGCTCGTGGTGTCCCGTCTTCCCAGCACTCTTTGTCATATAACGCTTTGAAACTACTGACGGTCTTGGCCTCCACCACCTTCTCACTTAACTTGTTCCAACCGTCTACCACTCTATTTGCGAAGGTGAATTTTCTTATATTTCTTCGGCAGTGTGTGTGTCTGTGTGTGTGTGCGTGTGTGTGTGTGAATGTGTGTGAGTGTGTGTGTGTGTGTGTGTGTCGGGTGACTTCAATAGGACATCAGCAACCAATCCAATCCAGTTTAAATTTGACTCCTGTCGGTAGAGAAACTTTCTCACACAAAAGGGGTGATGACTATAGCACCTTAAGATCTCTGCCCTGAGACACACAGGGGGGTGGACACTGCCCTGAGACACACAGGGGGGTGGACACTGCCCTGAGACACACAGGGGGGTGTGGACACTGCCCTGAGACACACAGGGGGGTGGACACTGCCCTGAGACACACAGGGGGTGTGGACACTGCCCTGAGACACACAGGGGTGTGGACACTGCCCTGAGACACACAGGGGGGTGGACACTGCCCTGAGACACACAGGGGGGTGGACACTGCCCTGAGACACACAGGGGGGTGGACACTGCCTGGAGACACACAGGGGGGTGGACACTGCCCTGAGACACACAGGGGGGTGGACACTGCCCTGAGACACACAGGGGGGTGGACACTGCCCTGAGACACACAGGGGGGTGGACACTGCCCTGAGACACACAGGGGGGTGGACACTGCCCTGAGACACACAGGGG